GAAAGTTCTCATACCTATCAATAATGATTATGATGTATCAATCTTATAGATTTTTACTTATCTAATAGAATCTTAGATTAAACTATAGAAAAAATCAAGACATTGAGAAATTTAGTCTATTTAAGGATTATATCTTTTTAATCATGATAATCCTAAAATAATTAGATTAAAAAGAGATCTAATGACAATAAATATTATTAAACTATTATAACTACTAGTTGCTACTTCTACAAGAATAGTTTCATATATAACATCTCTAAAAGATAATAAATGACCATCTATTATTTTTACATATACAAGTTTGATTTTCCTAATTAAACATATATTTTATTTTTTGATAAAGTCTTCATTTGTAAAATAGGCTGAGGCTCTTGAATCCAATAAAGCTAAGACTTTGTGATTTTTTGGTCCTAAATAAACTTCTATTATAAAACAAGGTGAGGAATCTAGAAAGAAAATAAGACCTTTATGAGGAATTATGTAAGATTTTAATTGTATGGTTCTTATTGTAATTAGAGAGACTCATTTTTTGACACATCATCCTCTTTGGAAATCGTGCTTCTTATTTTGTAATTTTCTTGCTTCTTTGGATAATCTTTAGTAATGTGCTTAGATCCTTGACAATATAGGCATAAACCTTCTTAACGACGATAAGTCTATTTTTACTCAATAAAAAGTTTAAAATATATTATATCAATTTGTATTATTTTTTGCCTTTATAAATAAGTTTTTGAAAACATAGAAACTACTATCATTACTTGACTTATTCCTCTTCAACCAAATTCTTTTTTCTTAATGCCTTTTAAATAATTGATTGCTGCATGTAATAGCTTAAGTAATAAATTATTTTAAATATTTTTATTTTTATATTTTTAATAAAAAAAAATTGAAATTATACTTCATCCCATAACAAAATTGATTGATAAGAGCTTTGTCATTCCAATCCATGTTGCAAGCAAAGTTTTGGAATTCAGCAACTTATATAATAATTAATTTTGATCCTTATAGTAAAGATAAGAGCTTGATCTCTGTTATTCTTCTTTGATCATTTTCTCCAACTGTGGCTATAAATTTTTTAGGAATGAATTCAAATCATAAAAGAATCATGAGTCATTTTTTATCAAAAGTGCAAACTAAGAAAGAACACTTCCAGATAGAAGTGCTTCTATAAACCCAAGTTAAGTAAATCTATTAGGATATTGAAAAAGATGCAATCTTCGATAGAACTTGACTTGTTGTACAAATCCTTGAAGTATTGATCTTATTCCATCAAACTTTTCAAGCACACTAATCCTTCTCTATGTTGCACTTATAGAAACAAAAATTCTTGAATTTGGTTTAAAAGGTCAATCTACTTACTTTCTTTAATTGCATAACTTCTTGACGCAGACTCTAAACTTCTTTCACAGATATAAGATTATTGTTTTCTTGATTGGCACTCATGATACATGAAATATCTAATCTAAGAGTGTTAACAAATTTATGAAGATTTGTAATAGTTATAAATCTATTCTCACTTCTACCAAGTACAGTATCCATAATTTTTTCTTCCATTTCAAACAACTTAACAAATCCAAAAGTCAAATTAGAAGAGGGTAATTTGTAACCTCTAATATCAAATGAAAGTTTCTAAAAATAAAAAAATCTGCTCCATTTAAGAAAAAAATTAATATTAGAAAATTGAACAATTTTTTTAAAGGTGGATAATCCACAACCTTCTCTATTGTCTCCATATACACTCTTAACTAAGGGCTATGTGGCCGTGTCATATAGGACCTCCAAAACATGTTGACTTTGCAAGATACATTGTCATGATAAAACATAGCTAATAAATGAAAGAGAGAAGAAAATATTATATTATAGAAGATCTTGTTTTAAAATATTATAACAAATTTTTTTAGAAATATAGATGATAGTCAAAAAATAGTAAAACTAAAGAATACTAATACTGCCTTTTTACAAAATAGGCTTCTATTTCCTTTGTAGGGCCATAAATAAGGCAAAACAAAGTAGATTGGAAAATCAAATAATATAGACATATGTAAGAGAGAGTTAAGATTAGATTTTAGCAAAATTTATCTCAAGAAGCCAAGAATTTATATCCAAAGAGAATTAGTCATCAACTTGGATCAAAATCACATCCTAAGGCACAAAATTGCACATTTAAGGTGATTCTAAGGTTCTTTAGTAGATTGGAGAGTGGAATTTGGGAGTAGACTTGAGGAGAGATTTTTGGGTATTTTTTTTGTATCAATTAAATCAATATTGAGTTTTTGAGAGATTATTAAAGTTAGTAATGTTCTTAGTTGATTTAGATTTTAAGAAATAAAAACATGTTTATAAATTTGAAGGTTTCTTGAATTTTGTGGTGTGTATATAGGTAAATTTTGTGCAATTTGTTGGTGTACTAGTTGTGAATGTGTATACAAGTTTTGAAGTCAATCGAATGATTAGATCAAAGTATTTGAAGGTTTTTGTAGATTGAGGTCTCAAAAATTAAAGTTTGAGGATCAATGAGTATTTCTAAGATCTTTACCAATTTGTCAATTGGATTGAAGAGATTTTTTTTATATATAGATACTAGACTTGATTTTTAATATTTTAGGTAAAATTTGAGTATGATTTAGTAGTTCAAGAAGGAGATATTGGCACTTGAAGTTTAGCATTTAGATTGAAATAGGAGGCTACCTAATACATGATTGGATTATCTTGTATTTCTCTCAATTGATAAGTGTAATTTTTTTTTATCTTTCTTATGCTTATTTTTTACTAAAACATTAAGAAGTGTGTAAATTTTGAGTTAATATTAATAGTTTTACCATTAATTATTGAGGTTCCATTTTGCTATAGGATTTGTTAAGAGTTTGTTTATGATCTAGGATTTGATTAAGATTTGGTCTAAGAATAGTCTAGATTTAATTTAAAATAGGATTTATTTAGAATTTGGTTTAAAACTTGTTTAAGGTTTGTATAGGATTTAGAAATTTATTAGGATTTTATTAGGGTTTGACCTAAGATTTGGTTAAGATTCAATTAAAGTTTCAATTAAGATTTGACTTAGGATTTGGTTAAGATTCAATTAAGGCTTCAATGAAAATTATATTAGAGTTTTTATTTTTAATATTTTTTTAGGATTCTTTGTATTTCTTTTGTGACTTCTTTTAAATTTATTTCAATAAGTTAAAGTTTGATTAGGTTATTAGGAATTACTTGAAGTTTATTTAAGGCTCTATTAGACTTGGTAGAATTATTATTGCATTATTACTTACCTTCAACATCTAAGTACCTAGTGCATTTTCAAGTAAGAATACATGTAATATGACAATGTATCTTAACTTGTAAGGCAAGTTTTTTATATATACACTACATAGTTAGCTTGTTCTTCATATTACTAATACGTAATTAACTTGCTGATCAAGTTTTTAACCTAATAATTAACTACAACCACATGTAAAGTCAAAGCAACATCTATATAGCTTCTAGGAAGCTTCTCTAGAAAATATTATGAAATAAATCTACTTAAGTTTTTGTGTCTTGACATCAAATTTTAATCTTATATCACAAAATGGTAATTTCTTAGATTTCAATTCTATTATTATTATGGTTTATTTTATACAACCCTAACTTCTTCTTTTTTCAATATAAGAATTATATTCTTCTAACTAGAATAAATCAACAATGACAAAATTACTTCAAGGTTTTTTTTATCAATATTGAAATATTTTTATGATCTTTAAGAACTTGTATTAATGGAGCTTCATAGATGATATTTTCAAAAGATAAGAATTGACCATCTATGACTTTTGTACCAATATGTTTAATTTATTAAACTAAAGATATTTGATAATATTTATCAAATACTTCATTAAAGAAATGATTATATGATTTGAGATACAACATAAAAAAAGTTAGAACTATGTGGGTTTTGAATTTAAATAAACTTAAACCAAAAAACAAAAAAATGATTTTAAAGATAATACAAAGCTTGAAGATATGTTATTTAAGAATTTAATTCCACCATCTTTATTGTAGTTGAATGAATATGTATTTTTATAAATTATCTTCTTTTAGAATTATGACCTTTGTTATGATTCTACAACATTTTTTTTAATAATATTAAACAATTTGCTATATTTTTCTATAATCTTAATACAAGTCTTTTTATTTGCAGATGTGTTTTTCTTAAATTGAACTACCAGAAATCCATGCTATTGGGTATTGCAATCTCTAGCATTGATATCTATCCACTCTCCAGACAAATTTTACAATTTCTTTCACATCATATTGTAGTTTGGAAAAATATCAAATAATAGGCACATTACCCCACTTTACATTGATTGTTAAAAATTATAAAAATTGTGATGCCAACAAACACATAGTTATATATTTTTATTACGAAACTTAGAAATCATTGGTTGCTGTATAAATTACATAATATTTACTATACATTGATTGAATTATTGTTCAAAATATATCCAAGTTGTCCAATATTGAAAGTAGTAACATGGATTATAGCTCAAGACCAGAGCTTCGTCAAATAAGTCCGGGTCGCTAAATTCCCATTTGCCAATGATTCTTTACAATCACCTTCGGCCCAATGTATCATGCGGCTGCTGTCGACGACGCCGCCACTTCTCATCCCATTCACTCTCTTTTGCTAGAATCAGGAGTACAGAACGATTGGCTCGATTATGAATATATTTGAGTGCTCAAGAAAATCAAATATGCAAAACAAATGATCCACCGCATAAAACAATTCTTCACGGCATCGTCTCAAAAACAATAGCTACCAACTAACGCTCCCAATTCATCAAAAAAAATAGACATACAACAGATACTGCACAATAATAAAATAAAATAAAATAAAAACGATAGCAAAAAAGACTGCTTGAGTTGATCATTACAAAACACGAGCTTGCATACGGTTCACACATCACAAAATAAGCCCAATATAATGAACAGAATCACACCCTATTACACATCTGGGTCAGAGCACAAACATATTATCGAATAAGTCCATCACATTATCGCGCACTTTCTGTGCACCAAGGAGAAAAATACATGGTAAACTGACCTGATATACACATTCATCTGTTTTACACTTCTCAACTCTGGCGGCTACTACTTCCGCTCTACCAGTCCATCCTAACCCGACTGCACCGCATCAAGCTGTGAAAGAATTCCCTGCTCTCTTGACTCGTCGTCCAAAACCTTACCCACACGCCCACGCCCAATCCCACTCCTGCTATACCGCCTCGCGCCATCCCCTGGCTCTAACCCGACTGAACCCACTCACGTCCCTTTCGTCCCTCTCTAGCACGCAATTTATGATGTCGGCTAGAATGCCAGCTTCTCCATGTGATCCTTCCTCGGTAGCTTCACTTTCGTGGCCAGACCCACGGCTTCTAACCCCCGGATCACCCACCATGTCGGGTCCAACTGCCACCATTCCAGGCCATGCCGAGCTGAGTATTCGAATGCGTGGTGGTTGTTGTGCCACCCTTCCCCAAATGCCAGCAATGCCACCCACCTGCAACCAACAACGCTCAACTTCGTCAGTCGTCACCACCAACCCAAATTACACCCACTTAGGGTTTAAGGCCCACTAACCCGATCCCGATATCCTTCCTCCACGCCCACAAACTCCGTCCACTCCGCTCACCAGTCCCCAAAATCTAAAAATCTACGTCCTGCGATCCTGGACACCACTCCACGGTAACTTCCTACCCTTCAACTCTCCACTCCCACTCTACCCCACCCCATCTGGACCTGACCATGCCCACTCCGACTGCGGCTATACATCAAAAACATCATTACCACTGTTCTCGCACCACCATCCATCCACACACATCTCTCACCCCGACTCTCCACACTTCCCCCTACACAGCTTTCCCATACTCACCAGTTGTTCCGAGACAAGTCTCCCGTGTTCCACTTCTGCGATCCCCACACATGCGATGCAGAGTTCACAAACCATGTGATGTGATACACCCACACCGTCCTCACAGCCTGCACCCCACACACCACCACCACCCACGTCATCTTCCACCTCCAACCCTCATTCCATTTCCATCGTTTCCTCGACCCTCTCCACAAATCTCACTCCATCCCCACATCCCATATTCCCCACTCCCTCCCTCAACCCTCTCCCACGCTTCCCACACACCCTCCGTTGCACCTACTCACTCCACACCAAAACACCACTCCTCCTCATACACAGCCACCACTCTTACCATGCCCCACACGATGTAAGGAAATCCTCCCACGGCATACAACGCTGCTGCCAGTAGCATCGGGTGAATTGGATAC